TTAAATTATAGTTCTTCCTGAAAGGCTCCTTATTGAGATTGCCCACGATGAATTTGATTTGATCACTCATAATCAAGTCTTATAACTCAAACTAAAAAGTAAAAAGAGAGAAAATATTTCTCAATACTGATAACAAAAGTTCGGGGGGGAGGGGAATCAGTATTAAGATCATAGGAAGTAGGCATGAAAAGTATAATTCTATCTGGAAAAGAGTGATTTTGTTGAAAGAAATCAGAGTGTGAAGACTTTATTATGAATCCTACAGTATATACTGTTAATACGTAACGCCAAATGTTTCTGTATATGCGTCTTGTGTGACAGCAGTCATCTGAATTAACACGGACAAATGAATAAAGCCTACCTACATTAACATCTCTCCCATTCAACTCTACAACTTCTACCCAGCGGTTAGACTACAGACATCTTTCTAATTTTTAAAAATTAGTAGCCCGTGTTTAAAACTGGGAGATATTTTTTCCATTAAGATCCAGATTTCCAGTCTCTTTTGAAAATCAGATCCGGCAACCATGGGCCCACATTTCTGCAAGGCCACCTCCAGTGGAAGCTGAGTAGGGGCGCAAGCGTCAGCCTGGTATGCTTTCCTTGGCTTGTTCTGGTTTCCTCCACCCAACACTGATGTCACCGGCCGGCCCTGTAGGCTTCGGCTCCGCCGCCCTTGCGTATTTCAGGCCTTCGTTTCCTTTGCCTTCAATAACGTGACAGCCTCGTGTTTCTCGGTCTCCTCTCCCATTCTCAAGGCCCACAAAATAAAACCCAAACTTCTTGCACTTCGAGACACTTTAGGATCTAGCTCAATTTAGTCTTTCCCATTGTATTTCCAAATTGTTACATTTCACCCTTTCAAATTTCGGCAGACTAACCCCTAGTTGTCCCACCTCTAGGCCTTCAGTTAATGCCGTTTTCTCTGCCGAGGGCTGTTCTCCCTTTCCCCTCTCTCCAGAGGTGCAGATCCTAACAGTTTTCCAAGCCCTCCCCTCTCCAAGACAAGTTCCTCCGGGAAATCCTTCTTATGCTACACACCATGTCTGCATCAGAATAGCAGCCTGCCCTCCACGTTGACCATGCTTTATTTGGAAGTCGCTTTTCTGTTTTGTAGTAGTTACTCGTGTACATTTTCGCTACTCTGCTAAACTGTGAATTCCAAGAGGACATATCTGTAACTCCATCTCTGAATACCCACAGCATCTAAAACAGTGACTGCTTCCACTAGACTGAATGAATTGGTTCAGAGGCCCAGGGCAAAACAAACAAATAAGCATCAGCTGGCTGGCAGTGAGAAGGATCCTAACTTTTAAAAAACAGAATATCTGATTATTTAATTGCGGAAACAGCTTTACCAAGGTTCCTAGTGTCTCCTGCATGCAAACATCACTTGTTTAATATGGGAAGAAGTAGTAGAAATTTTGCAGGCAGGCAGTTTTTTTAAATGAACTACTAAAAAAAGAAAGAATGACTTCGGTGCTCCGTAATAGTTTTTAACCATGAAAGGACAGATGTTATTTTACCCAAGACATTAGTTGAGGCAGCATACATCTTGCTCTGAAATAGGTTTGATTTTTTTTAATCCTCACCCAAGGATATATTTTTTTCCATTTATCTTCAGATGGAATGGGAGGGAGAGAGAGAGAGAGAAACATTGATGTGAGAGAGACACATCGATTGGTTGCCTCCTGAAGGACCCTGACCAGAGCCAGGGACCAAACCTGCAGCCAAGGTACATGCCCTTGACCGGAATCGAACCAGCAACTTTTTGGCCCACGGGCTAACCCTCTAACCAGTGAGCCAAACTGGCCAGGGCTGAAATAGGTTTCTGAAATCGGGTGGGTAGAGCTGGATATTTAGAAAACATCAAAATGTGACAACATTCTATTTCTCCATAATTATGATAAAATGCTGACTACATTGTTGTTAAAAAAAAAAAAATCTATGTCAAAAGACGGTAGAAAGGATAACCAATGCAGTTGATAAATTCGAGGTTTTTGCAGCTGTAAAAAGAAAAGCTTTTACCTAAATGAACTAAAAACCCACGTGGGAGATGCAAATTTTCCCATGTCAAGCCTATTTTAAGTGAAAGTCCATGTCCTAACCTTCACGTACATATTACAGTTATTCCATCATTTCAAACTTCAATATATATGTATTCCCTTTAAAAAACCAAACCCTGTAAACACGTTCCCAGGAGAGAAGGAACCGGCTGCCTCCCCACCAGCAGCCCACCCGCCTGCAGATGGTCCCCGCTGAGGACAAAGATGTGCTGAACGGGAGGGTGTCCGTGCCCCGGGGCTCTGCGCGCTAAAATTAGCCAAAGCAATTACTGTCCCTGTCGGGCGGAGAGCTGCCGCACTAATTCACCAGCACTTACCCCCCAAGAACCTCAAAACTCGGGGGGGGGGAGGGTAGAATTAAAACCAGGACGAGCGTCTCCCCGGCGCGACCCGGCACAGAAACCAGCCGCCGGTCTCAGGCTGGCACGGTCGCTGGCAGCAGCCTCGCGGGGTTCCCCAAAACCCTGTCCCCCGACCCGGGGCTCGGGAGAGGGGCCTGGGGCCCCAGTCCGACCCAGGCCCTCGGGCTCGGGACGGGTCACTGCGCCGGAACTGCGGGGACCCCTCGGGGACTGCCCCGGGCCCCTGTCCCGAGCCCCCGGGAGGGAGGGGGCAGTTCCCCCCGGCTCGGGGTTCCGGGAGTTTCCGACGCGGGGGCGGGGGGCGAGGTTACCTCCAAGTCTCTCCGCGAAACCACTCGCCCCCACCCCCCGGAGGTGTCCGGGCTCTAGCGGGCTCCTGGAGACGAGCTCCTTGGCAACGGTTGCTAGGCCGGTGACGTCACCTCCGGCGGGGCGGGGGGAGGGCGGGCGCGCTTCCGGGGCGCGGGGCGCGGCCCACGTGCGAGCGGGACCCCGGCCCGAGCCGCCGCCGCCAGCCTGGGGACGGGGGCGTCTCCGCGCCCCCCAACGCCCTGCCGTTTGCAGTTTACGAGACGCCCCATTCACGCACGAGCAGCAGGGGGACCCCGCGGTTCGGGGCAGGGCCGGAGGATCTGAGCGGCGGAAGCCTCTGGCCTGAGCTCTGGCTTCGGGTTTTGGACAGAGGAACCCGAATTAGGTTAGCGGGGGGCGGGGGGACAGCTGTGCAGGCTCCGGGGGACTGCGGAGACGCCTTCGGCCTAGAGTTCGGCTTCTCTGCCGCGCTATGTGGGCCATGTAGCCCGTACTGGGAATTACATATTTTTTATCCAGTATTTTTTTTTTCTTTTTTTAATATGCTGAGAGCCTGAAAAAGAAAAAAAAAAAGTAAATGGCCTAAGGCTCCTTTTGGCTTCGAAGAGCCTCTTTTCAGGCACCTGCAGAGGTGGGTGAAGGTCTCGTGCAGTCGCCTACCGTCCATATCCGGTGAAGAAGGCCGCAGGAAGGTGTCCCTGCCCAGGCCACGAAGAGTCCGGAACGTCTACCATTGCTCTGACTGGCTTGGGGGAGACCTTAGTGGGTGAATGATATTTTGAACGCGCCCCTCTCCCCCTTAGACTGGAGATCACTGAACTTTGTGATGTCAATGAAGAAATGGGGGGGGGGGGATTCTGCACACCCTGAAAACTTAATTGCTTGCTTAAATATCTTGAAAGAAACCAGCTACCGATTTAGCATCGAACTTACAAACAAAACAAAACAAATTCCCATAATAGGCCTCTCCTCTAGGCCCCACACTGTGCTGCTGGCTGCTGGGGATGAGGTCGGTGGAGGGTAGGAATTACCTGGTCCCTTTCATCCTGGAGCTAGCAGTGGTGTAGGAAGACAGACAACTGAGTGAGCAATACCTATACAACTATGACAATGCTGCAATAACAGGACTCAGTGATGGGGAAGCCCAGATGAAGGGTCCCAAGTTTATCTGGGGCTGAAAGGACTGTACGAACAGGAGAAGGTCCATTAAACAAAGTGATGCTTAAGGGTCAGTACAAATCAGCCAGACTGGAAGGGGTAGAGTTGATGGGGCAGAAGGAACACAACACTCCCAAGACCGGTCCATTGCGGGTTGCCTTCTGGCTGTTCAACTACCAAGTGAAAGCGCTTGGACAGATACTAAGAGTGGTCCCAGCTCATAGACGCTCACCACCAGGAGGAGACAACACTTAAACCCTTTAAAAGTTAAACAACTAATATAACTCTGGGAGAGACAATACAAGATTCGCACAATGGGGTTACCTAATTAGTTAATGGATGCTGTTGGGTGTGTTAGGAGATTCTCCCCGCTGCCTGGATTTGGTCCTGAACCTACCATTGTGTGGCCTCACCTCTCTGAGCTGTGCTCATCTGTCCCCTGTGGCTATAACAACACCTTCCTCAAACGGGTTGATGTGAAGATTGACTTGAAATAGGAAAAGGGAGCAGAACAATACCTGACATCAGAAAAGCTAAAAACATTTTACATTTTCCCCCTTATTTAAAAATAAACGAGATGGTTAGATTGGCTCCTTCTACAGTCTATAGATGTAGGCTATACACAGGCAAGAGTGGCTTCGCTAGTAGTTTTTAGTTCCTCCTCTGCCTGTCGCTGCTGTTAGTGAAACACTATACTTTTTGGTTATGAGATGACAATCCTGTGTAAATTCAAGTAAGCAATGGACCTCACTCTTTGCACTCAAACTGGAACAGATTTTATGCTTAATGTCTTTGCTCTGGGACACAGGAAAGAATTTTTTTTATTTTTTATTTTTTTTATTTTTTTATTTTTTATTATCCTCACCCGAGGACATTTTTCCATTTTTTGTTCAGGTAGAGTGGGAGGAAGAGAGAGGAACCGAGAGAGAGAGGGAGAAACATCGACGTGAAGGGACACATCGAGTGGCTGCCACCGCACAACCAACCAGGGCCGGGGACAAACTGCACCGAGGTACATGCCCTTAGCAGGAACCGAACCCGGGTCTCTCAGGACCGCAGGTCGACGCTCTAACCGCTGAGCCAAACCGGCCAAGGCGGAAAGAATTTGACGCCACTCAGCCTGAGATACTGAGAAGCATATGTCCCAACTTGAAGCCAAAACAGAGACCTGGAGAGGCTGCACGTGTTAGTTCCCTGCCAGGGTATAGGGCCCAGATGTGGGCCAAAGGAAGACCTGCTACCAACCCCTGATTCATTCAAGGTAAAAAGATTCAATGAGGGGTCCAAGAAGAAATTCTCAGCCACAGTTTCACAACAGTGAAGGCATTGAGGATTATATCCTCAGTCAAGCTACCATGTGAAGACTTTTCTTTCTGTAGATGCTATATTGAGTCTTTCTTGTAAAATCTCAAAGATGCCTCTTGGCTGAACTATATTTGACATTTTTAATAGATGAAGGGAAGTCCCAGGCACATGAGACAGTCTTTCAGAAAGGTTCCTACTCCTACCTTCCCTCTCTTTTTTATCTAATAGATTTATCAAGATATAATTCACATCTATACAATTCACTCATTTAAAGTATGCAATTCAGTTGCTGTTAGCATTTTCACAAAGTTGTACAACCATCACCACTATCTAATCCCAGAACACTTTTATTACCCCAAAAAAGACACCCCGTTCCCTTTAGCCATCTCTCCCAAGTTTGCAATAAAAACAAAACCAAAAAAAAAAAAAAAAAAATCCCACTCCCCACCCTCTGACAACACTAATCTGCTTTTCTTCTCTATGGATTTGCCTTTTCTGGACATTTCCTATAAATGGAATCACAAAATATGTGGCTCTTTGTGTCTGGCTTCTTTCACTTAGAAAAGTGTTTCTGAGGTTCATCCATGCCGTAGCATGAATCACTACTTCATTTCTTTTTATGGCAGAATGATATCTCATCGTATGGATTTTTGTTCACCCATTTATCTACTGATGGAAATTTGTATTGCTTCCACTGTGGGCTCTAATGAACAATGCTGCCATGAACATTTGTGTACATACCTGCACTTCCTCATGGATAAAGCACTTCCATTGGCTAAATCGGGTGAGCAGGGTATGTACATCAGGGACATGGGTAAGTTTGCGGGAGGTCTCTATTCATTCTTGGGTCTGTTTTTTTCCTTTCAATTCTTGTTAATTTTGTCTGTTCATGGTTGTAGACTACAGGACCCAAGATGTGGATTCTTTAGCAGTTTTTGGTTGTAACAATAGACTGTTCTTGAAACCTACTCATTCCTTGCTACCAAAGCAATAAAATTCCCAATCTGCTTCTCACCCAAAGCCCTCTAATAAGAAAATGATGCTAAGAGGAAGTGTCATTTAAATGTTCACTGGCCTCCACTGGAGGCCAGGGTGCGCTGAGGTGGGAGGAAGTGAGGGAAACTGGCAGCTGCCCTTTCTAACTCCCTTATTTAATCCTGTAGACGTTGCAAGAAACAGCCACAGTTGTGAACCTTTGCTCTGGTTATTCAAGGGGGAAAAAAATCATTCCTGGTAAAATGTATTTGTCAAGACTCAGTTTAGTACAAGATAAAAAATAAGGAGAGAGGTCACTGTTTTATGACTGTGAAGACCAAGGATATTACTAACTTCAGGTATGGCTTGATCTGGGAGTTCAGTGATGTCATCTTGACATTCTTTCTCCCTCCATCTCTCTGACTGTCGTCCCCACTTTCCTCTGAATGGGCTACTGGTAGCAGGAGGCTTACATCCTTCCAGCCTGGCAACCTCAGTAAAAGTACAACCTTTTATTCAAGAGTTTGAGCAAATTCCCAGAGCTGACTTGCATTGGTCTGAAGTGTGTCAGACCATTCTCGAATTAACTGCTATGACTCTGATGGATATAATAAAATAGACTAGGTGAGGGTGGCTCCCAAAAAGGAAGGACTGCATTCTGTAAGCAGAGGGAGAGATGCTCTTTGAACAAGAACAACAGATGCCCAGTACAGGTGGTCAGGGAAGGTGGATACATCTTAAAAGCTGGGTAAGAAAAACCAGAAAAGATGCCCTGGCCAGTTTGGCTCAGCGGTTAGAGCGTCGGCCTGCAGTCCGGACAGACCCGGGTTTGGTTCCCGCTAAGGGCACGTACCTTGGTTGCAGTTTGTCCCCGGCCCTGGTTGGTCGTGCGGGTGGCAGCCACTCGATGTGTCCCTTCACGTCGATGTTTCTCTCTCTCTCTCCCTCCCACTCTATCTGTACAAAAAATGGAAAAATATCCTCGGGTGAGGATAAAAAAAAAAAAAAAAAAAAAAGGAGAAAAACCAGAAGAGGAAGAAATGAGCCTGCACTTCTTGTGGGAGAGTGTCTGTATCAATGTGAATGTTCTCCCTGATTTTCTCCCAACAAATTATCTTTCTTCAATGCAGGCTTTAGTTGTGGGCCAAACGAGATCTTGGGATAACAACAGACCCCCCTGGTCCCCACGAAAATCTGAGGATGCCGTGAACATAATGTCTCCGGCCTCTTCTCATTTCAGAAGTTCCAAACAAGAACTTTCCTGTGCAGAGGCCGCGGAAGCCACACCAGTTTTCTGTTTTTGGTATTAAATTTAGACCTTTCATCCTGACCATGAGATATTTCTGGATTCTGCACGAGTATTCAGCAAATGCCAGTTTTCAAGATGCTATCCCATCTGGGGTACTCTGCACACTGCCCGCTTTATCTGGTTTTTTTTTTTAACTGAGAAAAATGACCCAGACGCAGGAGCAAATTCGGAAGTGGGTTATTCTGTTATCCATTAATTGTCATTTAATGCCTGAGCCATCTAGGTTACTTGGAGATGAAAGAAACTAAATTTAACCGGAAACCTGAATTTGGTTTTGCAGATAGCCTACACTGTCTCTGCTTTGGCAATTTAATCTTGCAGGGATGTAACAGCAGAATATGTTTTCCTAAAAGGTAAAAAAAAATAATATGTGAAACATTACATGTGTGCCTGGTACTACATTTTTGTCAAGTAGTTTTTTAAATGTGTTTTGGGAGAGAAATGGGCTACGTAGAGGAGTCAAGTAACATGCAATTCATATTAATTCCTTGGTTGTGGATTGAAAAATAGGATGCCCTTACATTCTTACTGGGCTCAAGTCATAATCATATCGTCACTTACGGATGCTTACTGGGCTCCTTCTCCTCCTGAAACAATTCGCGTTGCCTTGAGTTTTGCAGGTTGAAATCGGGAGCTGTTTCTTTGTAAAGGGCTGAAGTCTTTAGAGGTTATACTGGCTGTCCTCAAGGGGGAAGCAGAGAGGGGAGCTCCTTCTAAAGTGGGAGATGCTAAGAAGACTGGGAAGGGGTCACAGGTTAATTCTGGAGCGGCTCCAAAGAAAGGAAAAACACCCCAAGAAGGCCAACACCGCGAGCCCAGTGGCTTCGACGGTGGCCAAAGCTTTCCTTGTCCCGGGCCTGACATGGAAGCATTAATGTTATTGGATCCAAAAGGACCAGGCAGTCTGGGATGATGGGTGGGGGGACCAACCAGTCACCAAGACGGGCCTTTGACAGAGGATTTCAAGTGACTCTCTGCAGCTTTGTCACTGTTCAAGGGCCCGGGGACGTGGCATCCCCCAGGATGTGTGCAAAGGCAGGATGCCCAATAATAACAGGATGTGGGCTCCGAGTTGGATTTCAGTTGATTATAAAATCATATACTTCCTCTTGTAAATCTGAGTTGCCAACTGAAATGGATAACCTCTGTATCAGCCCGCGTCCTGGCACACTCTGGACAATTGAGGAGGATTTAATAAAGGACTGTTTGTGAAGGTGTGGGCAAGGGTTGGGGACACCAACGAGGGACCAACGGCAAGGGCAGCCATCGCGCCTGAGTCTGCAGCAGCCAGAGAACAGGCCGCAGCAGCTGTGCACAGGGCAGCGGTGGGGAGAGGGCCACCTACGAGGAGCCTTCGGGTGTAGCCAGTCCTGACCTCACGTTCCTCCCACCTTCTGATCTCCTGGCCGGCTTCCCAGGAGCTAAACCCAGCGGGGCACCAAAGGGGCAGGCAACCCCTTGAGGTCATCCACGCAGACTGGCGTCCCAGGGAAGAAAATGGCAGAACGGGGACACGGATGGGCAGACTGAAGGAATTGTACACGGACTCATGTATTAAATTAAGTACGGCCGTGTGAGGGCAATGGATGCACCCCCATGTCTCCAAGCTGCCCTGGCTCTGTAGCCGAGGTTCCTGGCCTCACGTGGGGTTCTCATTTCAGCACACTGCCTGCACCCACACCGTCTCCCTTAATGTTCACAAGGCTGCAAGGACCGTACTGTTTTTCCATTGTCTAATTCAGGATACTGAGGCCTGGGGAGCTGAGAGGGCCCACAGTCCCAGAGCTAGTAGCGGGCTGAGTCAAGATTCAAACAATGCTCTGATGATCTCAAAGCCATTTTCATCAACCTATCAGACTGGCTCAGCAGAGTCTGGAGGAAGGACCTGAGGCTGGAGGCGAAGAGATCTTCTGGGCCGGGGGGCGGTGGGGGGGGCGGTGGTAACACGCTGTCTGTCTTTCTCTGCCTACCAGGGCTTTGCCAAGGAAACTCTTCTCTTACCCGGCTAGAGCTAAGGGTTTGAATTCCAAGCCCTTACCCCAGAATCAAAGAGTGGGAAGATAGAGAGAAAACACTTGGCCAATGATGGGAAAAAAGCGTATTTTCATTTCAGATGCCTTTCAAGTTCCTTTTTCCCCAGCCGAGTGGTGGTGTATTTATAGAATCCAGGGGGAGTATGTAAGGGTAGTCAGCAGGGGGGCTGCCTTTGGGCCATCAGGAAGCTCCAGATCATGCAGGAAAAGGGTGATGGGAGGGGACAAGAAGAGGCCAGCAGCTTTGGGGCACAAACTGGCCTTCTTCACGCTGCCGAGACCTTTCCTCCTTCCTGGGCTGATGATGTCAAAGCAAGGGCTACGAGCGTGCCTCAGGTGGAATCAGAGAATCAAAATGACGGACAAGTGGATGAATGGCTAAACAGATTGTGGCGTAAACGTACAGCAGAACATTATTCGGCATAAAAAGAAATGAAGCACAGATACATGTGACATCAGGGATGAACCCTGAAAACATCATGTTAAGTGAAAAAAGCCAGACACAAAAGGCCGCATATTGTGTGATTTACGCGAAATATCTAGAAAAGGCAAATCCATAGAGACAGAATGCAGACTGGTGATTGCTAGGGACCTGGGGGAGGGGAGAATGTGGAGCAACTGTTTAATAGGTACAGGGTTTCCTTTTGGAGTGACAGAAATCTTTTGGAAATAGAGGAGGTGGTTGCACAATATTGTGAATGTACCAAATGCTATTGGGGTTTCCCTTTAAAAAGGCTAACTTTATATTATGTGAATTCACCTCAATTAAAAAAAAAAAATAAAGATGCTGCCCTGCCCGGTTTGGCTCAGTGGTTGGAGCGTCGGCCTGTGGTCCAGAGAGACCCGGGTTCGGTTCCCGCTAAGGGCATGTACCTCGGTTGCAGTTTGTCCCCGGCCCTGGTTGGGTTGTGAGGGAGGCAGCCGCTTAATGTGTCCCTTTCACGTCGATGTTTCTCTCTCTCTCTCTTCCTCTCTCTCCCTCCCGCTCTATCTGAACAAAAAATGGAAAAATGTCCTCGGGTGAGGATTAAAAAAAAAAGAGGGACAGCCATTCACCCGACGTCTTCCAAGTGGTCTTTGCTCTCTCTCGCCAGCTGAGGCCCCAGGTGTTGCCGGGCATGAGGCCTAGTTTTATTCCAGGCTTCCCTTTTCTCTCCTCTCCCCAACTACTGGCTTCCTTTCTGTTGCTCGAACACACCAAACCCATCACACTCAAGACTTTCGCACTGCTGTTTCTTTGATCTGGCTTGTTCCTTCCCCACGTCTTCCCGTCCTGGCTCCTTCTCCTCATTCAGGTCTCAGCTCGAATGTCCCTTCCTCGGGGAGGCCTTTTCTGACCCTCTCACCAAAGTACCCACCTGCCAGTCATTCTCCATCACCACGTTGCCCAGATTGTTGGTTATGGCTGATTGGTGGGCATTGACATCAGTTTAATGGGTCTTGATTTACATGTTTGAAAGATGAAGTGGAATAGAAAATATCACACAGAATAAAGGTAAACACTTCTGTCAGAAATTGTATGTGCGTGTGTGTATTCGTTGCAGTAACAAACCACTCCAAATGTATTGGCTTGAACCCCACCCCCCCAAATCTGTGGGGTAGCCGGGCAGTTCTGCTCCACGAGCTATCTGCTGGGATCCCCACGTGGCTGAGTCCCGGTGGGCGCTCCTCTGGGTGGGCTTCCCTGCCCCCTGGGCCTCAGCACCGCTGCCCGGTCTCCTGCGTGGACCGTCTCCTGGAAACCTGCAGCACGCAGCCGTCTGCCCTGCGCGTCCTTCCCTGGCAGCCAGGTACCATTCCGAGATAAACGGAAGCATATTAAACATGTTAAGAGTTTACTTGAGCAACAGTGGACGCCAGCCGGGCAGTGCCAGACCCGAAGTGCTTAGGAAGGCACCGCACTCCGGGCAGGGGTCACGGGAGGGACCCCCACGGAGAACACTGTGGAAGCAAAGAAAAGCATTCTTTGCATTGGCTCACCGCTAAAACCCTAGCTGGCTGTTTGGGACTGGTTGTCCTTCCAGTTTTGATTCCGTGACCTTGACATTTACAGGCTCAGATTGGGGTTTGCTTACCCAGGCTGCTGGGGGTAGAGCCACACCACCCCCTTGCTGATTCAACAGCCCCCGGAGCACCAGGCCCGGAGCAAGCACAGGCCATTCCCTGCGGGTCAAAGCAAGTGGGAAGAGCCACCCAGATTCAAGGGAAGGACAAACTCTGCCTCCTGCCCAGGGAGTGGCGTGTGCAGACCAGGAATGGTGTTTGTAAACTGCTGGCGGACACCTTTGCAGACAATCTACCGCAACTGTTTTATTTCCGCTTCATACTCAGGCACGTGGGTTCATTGGGTCACACAGTAAACATTTCTCGCTGTGAGTCAAAAGGTTTGAAAACACGCTTCTTCCACGTTCCTTTCTAAATTTCTTCTGTAGCACTTAGTACTCCGGAGTTATATGTATGTGTCCCTCATTGGAATATAAGCTTCCTAAGGTCTGTCTAGTTCACTGCTGTATCCCCAGCACCTATCAGGGCCGGACACTTAATAAGTACTTAATAAACATATGTTGTTATTGAATAGATAGTAACAGCTACCATTTATTTGGTGCTGAGTACTTAAATGCATTATCTCACTTAATTTGTTCAACACGCATTTGAGCACCTACTATGTGCCAGGCACTATTCTAGGTGCTGGTGACACAACGGTGAACAGAATAGACAAGAATCCCTGTCTTCATGGAGATCACATTTCACTATGATACTAGAATAGTATGGAGTAGATTTGTTACTATTTTGACAGATAAGGAAACAGAGTCAGAGAGGTCAGGCAACTTGCCCAAGGTCACCCAGCTAATACTTTCACCCTGACACCTGGCTTTTCTCCACTCTGCTGCAAATGATGGGTTTTGCCCAGCAGTGAGCCTAAGTGGTCACACATCTCAATTCCTGCAATAGCTTCTCTGCAGTATCAAACGCGTCTTTCTGGAAAGCATACACAGGGTAGCGGGAAGAGGTGAGTCCCATGACCTCAGAGTCCCTGCAGCGCCGCCCGCCCCCGCCCCGTGACGACGATGGCTCACACCTGGGGTGTTGCAGAGTTGAGCCACAGGTCTCAGTCACCCCCACTGTCTTATCGGCATGTGACATCCCCAAGTGGCTGGGGCCTGCAGACCCGGCAAAGAATGCAGCCCGAACAAAAATAAACCTGCCACATTCCTTGGCAGCCCCCTGCCCCTTCCCGCCTCCAGCCAGCCA